GTGAGGTCTGGAAATCATTAYTGACATAGCTAATTAAATGAATACCTGGAATAACTGTAAAGCAGTAGGTTAACAAAATTCCAGCCAATGTTGCATTTTTAATTGAGTGGRTGATGGGGAACCCTGTAAATGCAGRATAATTCAGATAGAAATGTCYCCTAGAAATAYATTTTTAATTATTATCATATGCATCATCCTGCTACTTGGAAGAAGGGATTGCAAAATTAAACTGTCTCAGCCTAAATTTACATTGACTTAAGGCAAGACTTGCCTGGTGTTCAAGATGAGTTACCCTGGAATCTGCTTCTTGGCTGTCCTAAYGCAGAAAACTCATCTTGCCCTTTTGCCTGCACCAGCTCATCTTGTTCCTTGCTATTTTAAATTGAAAAACTTTGTGAAACGATTTGTTTGAAGCATTCAAAGAACACTTTKCACACAGTTCAAACCCTCACTTAAAGAAATGAGTCTCTTCACTTTGTTTCTCGTCTTTTTTTTGCAACCAGCAGTGTAAAAATATTTGTGATATCAGAGTTAAGAAGCACTGTTAGGCAGGGCAGTGTGCTCCAGGGCTGTCTCAGTGCAGCTTAAACCTGAACCTGTGGCCTCCTCCTGATGTTTTTCTCACAGAAATATATTTTAAATCTCTTTCAGTTGATGGATGTCAGTGTTGACTTGTGGAAGACCTACAGCAAAATGGATCCTGTGTCCTTGGAGGATTTGCTCTTTGAGGTAATGCAGGGGAAATGTTCTGCATCAGTTCCTACTTGGTGTAACTGCAGAGTTTGGTTTTTATGGTGTTTATGGACTTAATCTAAAGGTTTTGCCTGCTGCCTCCTTCCATGCCTTAAATCCACCACAAATTCTGCAAAACACTAAAATTACTTGTTTTGGTTTCCTTGCATTTCTTACTTTGTCTGCAAGTCTCCTCCAAGTTTTTATTCATGTCATTAAACCACGTACAAAGTACATGAAGTTGCTGTTTGTKTGTGTTAATCCTCATTTTGCAGCAAGGAGGGTTTAAAAAATCCCCTTTGACACACAACCGTTCTTCCAGGATAAAAATGCATTTTTCAAATGCTTTGTAGCTGTTTTAAGTGGGGAACAGTGACACTCAGTGGTTGTCCTGATGCTTTGGGAAATGCAAATAATGGGAAGTGATTCCTCACATTAATGCTGTGCTTTGATCTCAGTGCTAGAGCAGAAAGCATTTTATGGTTTATAATTTAATAATATATATATTTTATAAGCACTTGTATATATTATTATGAATTTTTTATCTGTTTCTAGCTTGGCAACAAATTAGGCTTTTAATGTGCAGCAAGTTCTGCAGAAATTATCCTTTATTAATAAAATATTAGGAGTTCATGCAATTTAGTTGTTTGATCAACTGCTGTAATGAAAATTAAAATTTCACAGAGTTTTTACAAGGTTCTCAGTTTAAGTAATCACTCTCTGATATTTTACTTCTCCTTTCCTCTGTGAAAGTGAGATTAATGTTTGGGCCTTTTCCTACACCTGTTTAGTCTGCTCTGAGCAGACTTACTGATCATAATTTGAAGTTTAAAGCCTCAAAGTGGTTGCTAAGTTGACTTAAATTTTCTGGAGAAAATAAAGATAAATCCACCCATAAAAAGACACCCTGAAACCCAGCAGAATGTCCTTAGCTTTTAAAATATATTTATTTTTTTGAATTTACTGTTTTATTGGGTAGTTTGTATTTCAATGAAATGTTGATTTTGACTTCCTTTCTCTGCTCTAACACTTGCCAAATATTTTCCTTATAGGATTTAATGATTTTTGARCACCAGTGGACCAACTTTTTTGCTAATTTTGACACTGAAATTCCCTTCATTCTGGAGCTCTCAGAATCTCAGGCGGGGGAGGTAGGCCTGCTTCAGCAATCCTTGAAAATCCTGTTGTCATCCCTGCAGAAGAAATAATAATTTAATAACAATTTAATTTTGATCTTTTTTTTYCCCTACCCCATTTCACCTTGCATGTTTGATGAGTAGAAATGTATGGTTTGGTTTTTTTAWTTTTTAAATCACCACCCACCTTAAAAATTTGTGGTATGATGGTTTAGGAGACTGCTGGGGTAATTCACTCGAGTGTTTGCTCACTGATAATTCAATTTAGGTGATTTCTATCTGCACAAGAGCTATTTCTAGGTAGATTAACTTTCATTTGGATGGAATCTGGTGTATGCATGGCTTAACAAGTTGAATTTGCACCTATCAAACCTCAGACCTAGCTGAGGGTGTAGCATAGGGCATGGGAGAAAATAGAAAATGGGATTTCTGGGGGTTGCTTTTGAAGCATTTTGTTGCTTTTTTGAGCAATTTGGTTTAGGAAAAGGTGYCCCTGCCCATGGTAGGGGGKTGGAGCTGGRTGGGCTTTAAGGTCCCTCCCAACCCAAATCATTCTGTGATTCTRTGAWAWAARATACTTASWGATGTTTGTGTTTATTTATGGAGGTTTATTTATTTTTGAGTGTTCAGGAGTTTTCTCTGAGAATGGTAATTCAGGTTATTTCTTAATGTTAGGATATTTCACGCTTCTATTCATTTACTTCTTAATAATTTTTTTTTCTTCTTCACAGCCCTTCAGAAGTTATTTCAGCCATGGCATGATCTCAAGCCATATAACAGATAACAGGTAATTATTATCCATTATTCCCTGTGGTGTCACTACTACCTCAGTGTGTTATTTCCATATCCCTGATACCATAATGCTTAAAATTCCTTTTGGGACCATTTCAGTAATCACATCTCATCCTGGAAAAAAAACATTCAAAGGCACTTCCTGGAAGGATAAGCTGAATTTTCACAGGATTTAATGCTGAAGTTCTTGCATTTATGATGTAATTTTGTGCATTCTTAATGTGATCAGTTCCTGTTCCATCCCTGGAAGTGTCCAGGCTGAATGGARCTTGGAGCAACCTGGAATAGAGGAAGGGGTTGAAATGGGATGGGCTTTAAGGTCCCTCCCAACCCAAACCATCCTGTGATTCTGTGACAGAATTTTGACTGAAAATCATTGTTTAGCTGAMGGTTGTGTTGCTAAATCCACACTGGGCTGTTTTGAGCTAAATCCAGGTTTGTTTGGCTGCTTGAATCACTCTKCTCATTCCTCTGTATTTGGAATAAACCAGTGCAGTTCAGTGCCCTTTATAGCCTGCAGCATCCTCTGTTGTTTGCATTGCAATCATGAAAAGAAAATAAAAGAAAATCCTTGACCTCTCCAGCTGAGTCTTGGGCCCAAAGCCAGAACTGAACCCAAAATAGTTTTGTTTCTTTCCAACACAGTCATTTCAGGCTTTTTCAAGAGGGTGACTTTGAAACTAAGCAGCTTTTTGAGGCAGTTAAAGATAAAAGAATCTTCTCACAGATTTTGGGAACAACCTTGAGATATGTTACTGTATTTGAAAGAAGTTATCTTTTTAATGCAAGTGGGTTTTTTCTTTGAAATTTGACCCTTTTCAATGGGAAGCTTTGTGCAGCTCCAGACAATTTTTTAATCCTACTCTTGTACTGMGAAATTCAGCAGATGATCCATAGCACTTGAAAGCTTTGATTTCATTTGTTGTTTGTAAACTTCCTGCAAATATTTTGGTGGTGATTCCCTCTTTCCTCCCCAGCCCRAGCCGGCAGCCCTTCGTCCTGTTTGGCAGCCACTCCACAAAAGAGAACTTGAATTCTGGTAACTTTAATTTTCCATCTGAAGGACATCTGGTTCGAAACACTGGCCCTGGTGGAAGCACTGCCAAGCATATGGTAAGGCTTTGGAGAAGTTATTTGAGATTTTGAAGCGTTGTATATTCTCTTTTTCTTGTTTATTTTTTGTGCTTATCTTCCATGAGTTAAATACTTAATTCTTCGTAACGTAAAGCACCTTAGCAATCCATCAGTTTAAGGAACAAATTTGATTTTTCTTGCTCCTTCCAAGTTAAACCATACTGGTTTCTTAATCAGGGGTCTTCTGAATGAGTTAAAATATTTTATTATCTATAAAATCGTGACTTTTTAAACACTTGTGGTGCTGTAAGTGGGTGGGGGAGAGGCAAATGCTGTTTGTGAGGATGTGTGTCCTAACCACAGAGTGAAAATCTGTGACACACTGCACTGTGACACACAAATTCTGTTTTAATCACACAAATTCTGTTTTAATCACTTTTTTTTAGCCATTTCTTAGAAAAGAAATGAAAACACCCTTTTTTTTCTGATAACACCTTTATGAATAGACTTGGGATACCGATGTGTATCCAAATTCCGCTGTGTGCTTCAACATCTATTGATGAAACTCTGAAAAAAGTCTTTCAGTGTGCCAGGAATGTTGTGATGAAGTTGTTCAAGATTAACTTGTTTCCATTTCCAAGTGCAAGCTTGGTTGTTTAAACATTTGCTGAGCTCCGTGGCTCCTTGCACCGYGGCGCAGGGGCCGTGCCGGGGCGAGCGACCCCAGGGATTTGGGATCCTCTGGCTGGAGAACTCAAAAGGGTGGCTCCAGAAGGCAACTGGCAGCGAAGGAGGAGAGAGGTAGAGTGTGGAGAGAGCTCCCTGCYACCTCCAGGGGCTCTGGGAATGGCAGTGGTGTGAGCCCTGTGCTGCTGAGCCGTGGTGGAGTGAGCRCATGAGTGAGGCCATGAGGTGATGAGCTTGTGGACATTTCACGGGGAGCTGCCTCAGGGATGGATGGACGTGAGGTTTTTGAGCACAAATCATTTGTTGAGAGCTTGAGAAGAGAGTGTTTCTCATCCTCCATTTGCTGCTGTAACATTTTTTCTGTAAAAACACTTTGAATTCTGTCTTTTCTTCCCCTTTTATCAATGAGATACCATTTAATCCCTTTCAAAATGCAAGTACTGGATTATTCTGATGTACTTGCTCCATCTGTTGTCCTCAGATTCTGATGYTGTTCTTAAAAAAGGTGGTTTATTTACAGGTACAGGTGATACTGTTTTAATAGGGTGTCATGAAAATAGTAAATAAGACCAAGTGCCAGCATAGTTATGGGAACCTGACACACTTTCCTCTTCATGAAAAGAGCAGTTGGCATAGGAAATTGAAAACACGAGTCAGAGCTCATCTCCTTCCCAAAGTCTTTCAACCATTCAGGTCAAGTCAAAAGTGAAATAAACCTTTGAAAACGTAAGTTGCTTTTTCACAATCCGGTTCCGTCTGTGTTGTAAACTYCTGTAGTCTTGTCAGTGCTTAGAAGACTTAAGGGGAACGTAGTTAATTGTTAATTACTGCACTGATTCATTTTACTAATGGCTGTTTGTATCTCATTAATACTGACTGCTAGGTAGTGCAGTGTGTGTCTCCAAAGGGACCTCTGGCTTGTTCAAGGACCTATTTTTTTGGAGCCACTCACGTTCCTTTCCTGGGTAAGTAGATAAAATGTACCAAGGCATTTATTACCTATGATTCCATACAAATTTGTAGCATTTAAAATGCTACAAATTTAATTTTCAAAGCTCTGCTTCCTTGATGAGCATCAGGCCATGGAGTGGTAGATTCTGTAGCCAGTGCATGAAATCATYGCAGATTTTGTGGATAAAATTTGTCAGATCTGAGTGCTACACATAAAATCTGTCAGATCTGAGTGTGCAGGCCTTTTCCAAGTGCTAAAGGAATATTTAAGTCCATGTTCCATATGGGTTTAGAGAAAAACAGTTTCCAAAAAGTGGTTGGCAAGCAACTGAGGATTTTTAAATAAAACCAGAACCAAA